AAGGGGAAGATGGGGGAAGATAGGGTGAAGGTGAGAAAGGAAAGGGGATGAAAAGAAAAGGGTTGGGATCTATGGTTGTTTTATAAGGAATAATCAGCAGAAAAAACAATAACGATAACAAGAATGTTACAGAGGAATACAGGTTGGGAGTGCCACGTTACACATCGCAAACAGCACTAACATATGAACAGGTAATAACGTAAACACATTGTGCAGATTAATAATGTTACAAGAAATTACATGTTGAGAGCTGTCTGACAAATCGTAGATAGTACAAACATAATAACAGATGACAAATGAATGTACAGTACAAAATGTAAATTTTTGAAAAGTTTAGGCACACTGAAATTTTCGTTAGGATTTTATTTCGGAAGATTTTAAATTAAATCTATCAAATTAAAAATTAAACTTTTAATGACAACGGAAATATTTATTGATTAGTAATTTTCTTAAATTGTCTCTAAAACAAGGAAGTTACACAACAGAATGCCCAAAGTAATATATTCATTAAAACGTGGCATTCTTGTTATGTCTATAATTCTGTTATATAAGACACATTAAGAGTAGGATTCAATTAAGATAATTAAGATTCTTAGTGTTTAGAATAAATGGCATTCTCACATAGAGGAATGTATCATTATAAAAAAAAATACCTATCATATCAAACGTTTAAGTAGGTATAATTTTATACACGTTTATTTTCGAAATTCATTACAGGAAGTATGCCATTAATAACTTAATGCATTTAAAGTGTACTTTCTTAAACGGAAAATATGCGTGTTATTGAAGTTGAGTTTGAGTGGAGTAGAATAATGGGATAAGCAACACAACAACTCACTGTGATCTGCCAACAGGGAGATATCTCCCTGATTGTGACAAAGAGTTTCTATGCAATTTTGTTCGAATAATTACCTATAATCAACGGCCACCCCCGAACAATGGGCAATTTTTATGTCTTCGTCAGATACCGACGCTCAGAGAGTTGATTCTTTCAATTTGGAGATAATATTGATTCTATTAGCGCCCACACGAAAGAAATATTAAACAAAGAAAAACAATAAAATATTTATAATTTAAAATTATGGAAAACGCAAGTAATGAGATTAAAATACTTCTTTATTTCTTAAATGCAGCATCGCAAATTCTCGGGTTAAATATATTAAGATGTGACTACCGTAAGAATTCATGGGAAATTCGATTTTTTCAATTTTATTCAAATTTTCTCGAATTGTTTCTTATCCTGAATACTCTGGCATTAGTTTCCACGATATTTTCCGATAAATTCGTATGCGGAGACTTGCTTAACTTATTCGTGGGTTTCAAATACATCATACAGTTATTTCTTATTGGTATGGTCGTATTCTGGACTTTTCAGTTCTCTTTTCTTAAACGAATTCGTTTACATCTTCCTAGTAGTAAATCTTGCTATGAAGTCGAGGAAACGTTAATTACCTCCATAGAATTTCAATTTGCAGTTTTCTTCGCAGTCGCTGCTTTATTACTAGTCATAGGTTACTTCATTCTTGACTTTTCTCTATATTTTGCCATGGAAAAGGCAACTGTAACAGAATTCCTTCTCTGTAATATCGATTGGGCATTATCATCATTTTTTTTAATAGGACAAACTGTTTACATATTATTCCTTCTTTATAATTATTTACTCATTTTGTTTCATGGATTTAACACATTGTCGAGCAAACTCGATGTAGTTCCTTATGGAAGAAGCATGATCAAAGATCTAATCGTATACATAATTGAAGAACATACAACATTAATGGAAGACGTTCGAAATGTCAATAACCAACTCGAAATGTATTTTCCTGCTGTTTACTGCAATAATTTATACGGGTTCAGTATCCTTGTAACCATTACTTTGTTTTATGATTTACCCGCTGAATTTAAACTGGGTGCATTTGTTGTTATCATATACGTAATTTTCGAATTTATGATAATTTCATTCGGTTTATCCAGATTTACATCCTCGGTAAGATTTATTTAATACTTGTACCATCAAATTAATATATAATCTATAATGTTTATTATTCATTTCAGATTTACGGAAATTTCAACGAGATGAATAAATTTTCCTCATGCAGATTCTCACTGCTTTTTAAATTGAAGGTAAATTGAGTGTTTTATTTTTACGTTATTGATAAACTTTATTCCAAAGATATGCACTTTTTCGAACAGATGCTGAATTTTATGAAGAGATTCGGGAAAACACCCATCGGAATTTCTTTTGGTGGATTTTTTCGAGTGAAACGCAATTTCCCGATTAAAGTAAGTTTCGATTAAATAATGCATTTTAATTTATTATTGTGGATTTTATCTTCATCTCTATTTTTATTTTTAGATGTTGAGTAGTTTTTACTCTATTCTTTCTGCTCTTATCGAATTGGCAAAGAAGAACGAAAGTACGAAATGTACTTCTTCACGTTTGCTGAATGCAAGTAATATTCAGAACACATCACTGTATTGAGAACTTTCAACGTGAGTACATAAAATCAACGAAGATTCGTTGAATCGAAAAAACGATTTGCAGCTTATCTAGATATTGCTGATTTTTCTATAACTATATACGTGAACGAATATAAAATATCTGCAATATTGAATAACTAGAAGCACTTCTTATACGTATAAACACAAAAACAAAGTACACTTAATGAGTAATGTAGAAAATAAAGTTTAAACAATCTTATTTCTTTAATTTATCAATCGTTAATTCTAAAACATTCCCCTAACGAAATACAGAAACACTGACCATACAACTTATCTAATATTTTTTGTATATAGAAAGAACAGCTGAGAATCTTCACGACACTAGTTCTATTCAACCTTTTATTGGAAACGTAGTTAAGTGGTACACAGGTAAGAAAAAACGAAAAATTTGGGGCAAGCTGTTTGGACAGGCGCAAACTCACCTTCTCATATATTAAAAAGCATCTTGCCTGTATTATTTAATTAGAAAAATCTACTTAGTTAATTGTGAATGATGAAGAGGTTTATCACACACCCAGCCTGTTTAATTATCTTAACCAAAATGCATTTCGGCCTTTCTGGGTCTTATCAATATTATGACACAAAACAGATAATATATAGTGATAATTAAAAAATCTGGGTGTGTTATAAGTCACTTTCCAATGTTTAATTCTTTCATTCAGTCGGTTATTTGTGAAACCACTAATAATGCTGTAATTAATGTACGCTCTTCGTAAGAAATTACATATATTTTAATATCAAATGAGAACGTTTTTCAAATGACTTGGTTAATGCCTTAAGGTTCATAAACCCGATAAATCCAGCTTCTGATACTTCAGCGGTATTTGCCGGACATACGTTGGAAAAAAAGTTTAGAGCTTTACTCTCTAACTCCCGGCTTCTCACAATGTAATTTAGGTGAAGAGACAAAACATCATAGCTCTACTGGGCAGAAGTAAAGTTTGTGGATCCAAAAGGTGGTTGGGTAATTTACCCTTGTTATAAATACGGCCGTATTCTATGGGTTGAGTCATAAATAAGTTCCGTTTTCTAAACTGAAATTTATTTGCCAATAAAATGTACAACAATAGACCTTAATCTAACACATATTCACCATCATTATTAATGACTTCTTGCCATTTTTCGGGCAACTTGTCAATTCCCCTTGCATAAAATTCTGGTGGTTTCGAATCAAAAAACTCCTGGACGAACTCCTGAACTTGGTCATCATTTTGGAAGCATTGCCCTTGTAAAGCATTCTGCAGTGCCCGGAAAAGNGTTCGAAAGTACTATAGGTGTTTGAAGAGCGGAGGCCCACCAGTGGCCGAGCGGTCTTCGTACCCTAACCACTGGGAGTTCGATCGTGGGTTCGCGCCTCGCTCGGACGGGCTAGCCACAGAGTTTTCCGGGTTTTCTCCACGTCTGTAACGCCTAAATAGGGGCCCGTTTCCCTTAAAAGACCGCCAGGAAGGCATCCCCTAGGCAGATCACCCGAGTGTTGCGTTGCCATAAATAAACAAACAGTTTGAAGAGCGGAAAAATCGGCTACTCTGATTCCTGTATATGTAGTCAGTCAGTGACTTTTTTACTCTTCGGTGAGTCATTACCGTGACTTCTGATATAAAGCACTAGATTTTTAGATCAAATTTTATCTGTTATTGTTAAATACAGAACGACTTCAATATATTTCATACTTAAGCGTTAACTACTATTTGCGACTTCTCTTATATAGCCTAATAACTAGTTGTTACCCGCAACTTCGCCCGCGTGGATTTTGCAAGCAAACACCATTTATATTCAGTATTTCAACAACCATAGTAATTGTTATATAACACCTACCACTAAAAATGAAACGAACTGTTTTCAACTTGATTAATTTTCCGGAACGTTTACTATTATTCTATAATCGAACCGATATGCAGTAACAAAATTCGAATTCAAAACGGTTCGAAAATTTGGTTAAAAAATCAAAATATATAAAAATATTTATAACAATGTCTGAAATGTTATCAATTTAATACACCTGATTACTCAATGAAGACTAAACGTAGTTGAAAACAAAAAATCCCATCTAAAATACAGTAGAAGCCGTTCTTCATGTTAAGCCTTAATGCTCTCCCTCTCCCCCTGCGGAGGAATTTCGAAAAATCCCTTCTTAGTGTTCGTTTTCATGACGTACCCTTTATACCAAATTTTACCTCTTTAGGTTTAGTGGTTTGCTCTGGGTGATGATGAATCAATCAATCAGTGAGGACAAGTAATTTTATATATTTAGATTATTCTGCAAACTACAGAGAAAGTATTGTAAAAGCTAAAGTTTATTTTCTGGTTTGAATTCTTTGTTTCTGCTCATGCAGTGACCAATTACTCTGTAAGTCGATGTTATTATATTTTGAGGAACAGAATAGCCCGAGAGTAAAAGTTCGTCTTCACTGTCAAGTTTTAAACATTGATTTATTATCGATACTTTCATTTTCACTAATATCTACAAACTGACTCCAAAACTTCTATACATTTGGGAGTTTTTTCAAATAAATCTTCTTCATATACGGGAGTCAGAGTTGCCGATATTCTGAGATCGATTTCTCCTCCCTTGTTATAAATACGGCCGTATTCTATTATTAAAGAATTCGAGACTACAGCATTGTAACATATTATTTTTTAATAATCATATATTACGTTATATTAAAATATATAGCAAGGAGAGTTACGTCACTTTCCCCTCTGTTATGAGTGTTTTTTAGAAAAAGAATATAGTTGTGTGTGGCGTCATCTGTTATAAAAAGTTTTTATAACAATATCTCACATTTTTAATTACTATTAAACGGTAAAAAGCTTAATTTTTAGGGTATGGGTGGGTTTTATAAAAAAAAAATGTAAATGAAGATTTTATTCGTTATAAAGTTCTATCCCTTTTTGGGACACATCATCCTTTCTCTCTTACCATCCTCTCGATCTTTCACCACTAAAATTTAACAACGGCGATGCACCTCATATACAAGCCACCATGCCAAATTTTGTTTTTTAATCTATATACATCCTGAGATATTAAGCGAAATAGATGCAAACATACACACACATCCACGGAATTTTTTTTTGTTTTATTTTTTGAATTCAGGAGGTCTCAAAACGTGGAGATATGTCAAATTTGTTTCTGTAAATGTTTTGCAAGATTCCCAAACTTTCCCTTGTTATGTACTGTACATTCAAGTTGAATTCAAAATCTAATTTTAAGAAACTATAACGTCATTCATGTCTATATCAAAACATATTTTAAATTAACATCATATTACTGAACGCCGTTTAGTAGAATTGTTATAAAAAGTTTTAATGGCAAAAATTTGAGTTCTTGTGATTCTGAGCAACATTTTGAATAAAATTCGTTTGTTTTCATGCCAATTTACTTTAATTAGTAAATACTGTAGTAATATTACATTCATGTTATCCATTATGATCGAATCCTCTAAATTATAACATAGTATTAAAAAAAACTTCCGCATTCTTGCTTTAGAATACATCAATTCACGTGAAATCTCACAAATAATGTAGAAAACCATTAAAAATATAACATATTTATGTATATAATGGCATTACCGAAAGTTAACTAACTATTTTTCATAAAGATTTACATTACCTGAATTTGTTTTTTAACGCTGAGCAATAAGAAAAATTGTTTCAAAAGTATTATGTAAAGATGCTGGCCATCATGAAAACATATCAAACATGTTAACATCTTGAATCATTATTTAAAATATGACAAAAATACTCGATCCGATGAGTGTAACTAGTGAAGATGTTAGAACATATGTGGATTATTGTATGATCCAGTAATAAAACAAACGATTGAACGTGAAGGAGAAAATATAATGAACTTTCAAATATAAACTTCCAAAAACCAACAAATACTTCTTGGTTTTGATATTTATTGTTACCATATAAAAGTTTTACTTACTCCTTTAATAATATTATGAAAAGTAAAAGAAAATACAAAATGTATGATTTTAGTGTATAAATCAAATAATTTGGAAAGGTAGAGGAAAACGTGGTATTATGGAACACTGCGGGTATTATGGAACCATCCCATTTCAAACTGATAATAAAGGCGAACTGTAGCAGATTGTGGCTGAACTGAACTAGGCAGACATCCATAGCAAGGGAAAAATCCGTTTTACTTCAGTTAAACGGTTGTCCGTATTTTAATCAGCAAATTTGTTTTTTTTTTTTTCAAAATTCGCAAGTGTTGAATGTTAAGTGAATTTAATTATTTTAAAAATATAAGTCGTGTAGTTGTAGTTGTAGGTTCACTGGTGCATGTATTCCGTTCCAGAGACTTAGGGGTACATATTAATCTGTGTGATGTTCACGTTTTTTAAAGTTTGGTCTTGACAGACATAAGTTAATTCAAGATGGCGATGCGTGAAATACGGACCCCATTGGTGCTTTTACAGTAATATGGAACTCAACTCCTCCGAACTTTCTATTTGCAAGCAGACATTCCTCCAGAGCAATTTGTGAAAAAGACACTAGGTAGAAAGCCAATTCTTCCTGAGAATATCGAAAAAGAGCTGCTGGAATATATATTGTTGATGGAGGTCATATTTTTCTATTATAAAAGCATTTTTGCGATAAAATACATTGGAGTAAATAATTTTGTAATTATTTAACATTTTTTGTACTTTCCTATTTGTTTTTGGATACATTAAAGCGTTTTTTGAAAATATACAGTAAGGTTCCATATTACCACGATTTTCTCTAAGCCTACTTTCTGACGTTTTGTACAGAAGCTTTCAAAAACCATACTTATAGTTACACTAGCGAAAAATCCAATTAGGAACATTTAGTTTAATAGTTACCAGTACTTTTTGCACAAAAAATGTGAGTGTAATTATGATACTTTGTTTACAATTCACTAAAATGTAATTGGGTTTCCATAATATCACCTTCTCCTCTACTCTATACAGTTATGCATATATATAATAAAGAAATTTCTATAACGGATCACAACTGTTGACCAAGCAATAATTTTAAAACATTAAATTATATATTAATAGGCTTAATTAAGTATATTATACTCCATTAACTAAATTATTATTGAATTGAACTGAAATTTTAGGAAGAATATTGCACTTTTTCCTAACCTTCATACATTCTTTGTAATTGTTCCTTTGTTAACAATATTCATTGCACGTTCCAATCCATATTTTCTTACCTGAAAGTCGTACTCAAATCAATTATTCAAGCGGACACTTTCAGTTAACAAAATATGCCTGCCTGGACTTTTACTTAGCATACTTCACATTACCATTCGTGGAGGATTATCTCAGTCTGTCCGGAGCAAAACGCTATAAATAAGTTTAAATGGGTACATACCTAATATTGTATTTTATGTATATTTATTTTATTTTGTCGCTTAAGTTGTTATCATAAAATTTGGAAAACATGTAAAAAGTTGCGTGTTGCATTAGGTTTTTCGGTGCTCTAACAAATACAAAAATATGTTTTCGTTGATGCCATTTACATTACACCGCAGCTACGAAGTAAGTTTTTATCTTAATAAAATCCACCATTTTAAATTTTTAAAATGCTGACACACTATGCATGACATCCATTATCAAATATTGATGTTTTCTTAAAGTATTTCGTACCGCCGGCGATACGCTGACTACGACATGTCTACAGTTATCCTCATTTTTTGAGTCAATGACACTAGTGATCCGTGGTTCCATACAAAAACTCTCTAGTGAGAATTTCTCGTTAATCCTGATGTTTTGGTCATATATAGTTTTGTTAAAAACTCGTTCTTGTCCTCATCTTTACTGACATTTAAAACTATAACCCTTGGGTTCCTTTTCCGTGTTTTGCTGATCTTTACTTTTTCATTTACATTTGTAAGGGTTTCTATTGCTTGTTTCAGATTAAGATAGTCTTTTTCCGAAGTAAGTTCTATTTTGACATTCCCACCTGCTGTAGGAGTAATGTTCCTCACTCCTATGCTAAGGGAGGTGGGGTCTATTTTGTCCTGCAATGTGTTCATGGCTTCTTCAGAACATAATGTCTCCCACTGGCAATGGCCATAGGCTTCAGAATAATTTCACGTAAGCGCTCATCTCGTTTATTAGAAGCTAAGGCTTCAGTTATCATAGTAGTTGTGATATTTTCCCTTCCTGTACCTATTTTAGTTACTTCGGCGTAGCTGCGAGCAATGGGTGGCATCTATTTCCGTAAGGCCAGAACTATTCCGAATAAATTGTTGGCTGCCGCGTGCATGTTTAGTGCCGCCTGCCTAACTTCTTTTTGTTCTTAGTCCTTCCCGAGCCATGTGAGTTGGCTATCTCTCCTATAATGATCACAAATCCGTTGGAAATCACCAGAATCGACTTTTCCAGGTAGTCCGTTGTCGAATTATCCATAATTAACACATAAAATTACAAGCGTACAGTCAGGTTTCAATGGGTAGAATGTGTAAAGTCAGCAAGAAAGTGAAAACCCGGTCAAAACAGCGTTACAAACCGATAAATACGCCAAATTATGGTCGAGTAGGATAACCCGTATTACGGTTAATTGGAGTACACCGCAACACTATGGAAGGGTGAGGACATCGATAACTCCTAGTTAACAAATGTATCGAATTTAACCGAAGTTACACAGGATATTAGCATAATCACGCGCACGACACCTCGCAATCACGGTACACAGGGTCCAGCAGGAGGACCGCAAAAGGCCCGCAAAGACCGAAGCTAAAAACAGCGATACCTTTCGAGAAATTTGACAAAACGTAGCAAATATGACAGCGAGTCTTACAGAAGGAAGCCGCTTTCTATTGTATGTTATTACATTACAGGCCACCAGTGACAAAGTCGTTCCGTTCTCTGAACAATTATCAAGCAATAATCAAAAATTTTAAAAATACAGTAAAGGATTTTTAAAGAAAATTAGTAAAACAATACGTTGAATAAACTACATTGTTTTCACATTTCATCATGTCTCATCACCAAGAACCAGCACCCTTTCATGAAGCATAGGCAAACTCTATTAAAGTTCATCTCTTCAATGGAAGAATGTTCCTGGTAATTGGACATCACGAAATGTGAAAACGTATTTTTTACTGCGTAAACCTCGTCAATTATTTTTAATTACAAAAATTAACACTCAATCCTGATGAAAATAAACGAAGTACATAACCTCGATTCATGACCGTCCTATTCTTGAAGTTTCTCGTAAATTAAATTTCGTAAACAAGAGCAAGCTTTTCCATAAATTTTTATTATCGAAATTTGAATGTTGTTACTGCATTAACCTAGTCATCCCAGATACGCAGGAAAAGTACACTAAAAGTCAGTGGCACGAAGGGCATTCGGGTGAATCCTCATCCATGAAGTAATAACGCTGGGTGAATCGATTGTTTCTTATTCGCAATCATACCAGGACGCTTCCTGTTGTTGGTGCTTGGGAGGCTCGATCCCACGATTTTATTACTTAATTTCGTGCAACTTAAAGGTAGTCTGATTATTCCAAGAACGTTGCCATAATTTTTACAGTTCGGCCTTCATTTTGGGTTTTAAATCAGTGTGATATAAGACGGAATAGGGTGGCTGACTTTACTGCTATGCCAGTCATCTGGTTTCCCCTTATGCCTACGTTCCTGGAACCAAAGAAAATATGACATGGTAACTTCTTGTTGAAAGATTGTATAAAATACGCCGGATCTTGTGCATGACAGTGCTATGAAAACTAAAGGGAGTTTAAAGATCGGATTGTTCTCAGTGAGTTTGAAAGTATTGCAAACAAAGAACACTGCGACGGAGTTCGTTTGTTTACAATATGTTTTAGTGCTAAGCAGTTCTGCAGAGAATACCGAGTTAGCCTTTGGTACTTGATATGTTACCATACCGCCGTGAATGATTACAGAAGAACCAACATGATTATGAAGTTTGGATCCATTTGTACAAAAAAACGAAACTTTTATATTTACGTTTTATCTCTGCTCACTGTTGCATGTATTGTACATATAGTTAGCTTCTTTCTTCCAGACTCTCTTTCGTAAAACATTCGTAGTTTTTACAAATGGAATCGTCAAACGTCTCGAACATAGCCAGCATTCAGTTGCTTTCATTGAAAACTAAATGCTATTAATGAATTAATTCTTCCAACTCTATTTTTCTTAGTTTCTTCCATTCCTTTATCAAGTTGTCCGCAACAGCCCAAGTATTTTTGTCACTTTCGAAATCCTATTCTACCACAAATCAATCCATATCACTCACAATGCAATAACTGTGAAATTCAAGTTACTGTTAACAACAAAACAGAAAAGTCAGTGTCATCTAAGCCAAATGGCCCAAAATTCGTGTTGACAGAGAAACAATCTACCGTCCAAAATAGAAAACCAAAAACTTATTTTATGTAATGGGCGATTGACTAGGCTGATTTTACCTTTATGCCTCCTTTATGTCTCGCATCTTAACTAGGACTATACAGTATTAGTTTATCTCCATGATAGTGTCTCGTGTCAGAGAAGAATGCGAACCTATTTATCGAAAATTTTCGTCTATTTTTTGTGTTTTTAAAATACTGGTTATTAAATTTTCAATAATAAGCATTTACAAAATTTCACTACAGTTACTATCATAAAACTTATGTAATAAATTTGACGTAATAATTGTGTGATTACGTAGATGTATTAATGCCAACAGCAAATATTTAGAAAACTTAATATAAAAACTCTGCACAGCTGCGTAAATTGGATCAAAAATAAACGATTTAGACAATAACACCGTTAAAAATATTACAATTTACTTTAACTGTAAAGTGTTATTTAATTTAAACAGGAATTATACAGATGATTTTCAAGTATTTTTTTACGATCATATTTTTAAAACATTTTTGAAAGTCACTCTGATACAGGAAATAAATTCTAAAATACAATTTAAATCATGAAATAATTACTTAAAATTCTAATTTCAGCAAAATATTACACTATATAAAAGTAATTCTAGTGTAATTTAAAATTATCATTCGTATTCTTCGTACTTTTTTGTCAGTTGGTGTCAACAGCAATATGAATACTCCTCTGAAGTAAGGCTTGTGGAAACATATTTATATGTTCATTAAATTATTGAAATTACTTTACTTACATATATTTATTGTCAATTAACTTTTATAGAGTTTTAAATCAAACTTTGAAGATCTTCCTTATATTCTCTACGATTCTCTGTTGCAGTGCAAATGCAGAGGAAAATGAAAATAAACGGGGTGAGTTAACGATATTATTCTTTGTTCAGAAATGTTTATTAATTCTGATGATTTCGTGGCATTTGTAGGAATTGTACGAAGGATGATTGGTGGTAAGAATGTTGAAATTAAGGATTATCCATTTATGGTGAATTAAATATTATTTATCTTATTTTATAACTTACTTATAGAAACCAAAATAAATAATAGTTTGTTTCTAGATTGCCCTGTTTTTAGTAGTAAATGATATAGATGAAGATTATTTTCTTGGATGTTACTCATTGATAACAACCAAAACTGCACTGGGTGCCGCTCGCCCAATAGTAGAGTATGCATTTTCTAATTAATTACGATAAATGAAAATACTTTAAAATTCGTATAATATTTATAAAAGTAAAAATGTAATTATTTATACTATAATATATTTCGGTATAATATTATTATATATTTAAATCAAGTTATTATATATTCATATCTTATCTGTATATCATAGAAAGGAACCCGATGAAATATATGGGACAATTGGTAACAAAGATAAATTCCTTGGACAGAAAGTGAATTTCAAAGAATTAATTCCACATCCGTACTATAAAGGCACTGTATTCCTTTATGACATAGCAGTTTTAATACTAGATAATGACGTTTCTCTTCCTCCACATGTACAAACAATCGCTCTACCACGTACCAATAAAGAATACTATTCAGGAATGGCAACGATGGTTGGATGGGGAATCATTGGAACAGGTTAGTACATATTACATTTTGAGAAATATCTATAACGATTTTGAATTTTACTTTTAAAGCAAAATAACATTACTACTTTTCCCTGTTTTAAATGCCATGGAAAATATTATGAAGAAGTATACAAATGTCTTTTTAATAAAGTTTCAAGTGAAGAATATGAAGTTTTGGTGTATGAGTCATACACCAAAACTTCGTATGTAAGAATGGATAGAAAATATAACAAAATGTTTTAGCCAATAAAATCTCTGCATACTTGCATGTTTTCGATAATATTATACCCAATATTAATTGTTAAATATATTTTATATCTAGAAAACATTCATTTCTGTAATGACTTTTCATTATATTATACAGTGTAATATATTAAGTTTAGATTTATATTCCATAATAGAATCTAAATCATTATTCAATCATCAGTTGAATAATAATTTAGATTTTCTATACGAAAAATTAATTTATATAATATATTTAATGAGTTATTTCGGTCTTTAATTTTTCAATAGTAAAAATTAAAGTGTTTTTTCAGGAATGTTGTTATTATATCCTTATAAATATTTCAATCATTTAGGAGAAGTACTGTTGTACGAGATTTACAATGAAACAAAATGTGGCATAGTAACTTATACAGTTATTATGCCAATTGCATAAGGTGTATTGATGCGTTACACTTTCGTAGATAAAGGTAAAGGGGTGCAGAAAAGGGATAGTGTGTCATATCTCCAGTGAGGTCAGACTTATTGACAATTTTGCTCGTAATACGCATACACAATTTTTAAACAAATAACTTTTACTCTAAGATTTAAACATTTTGCCTTTTTATAGTAAATAATATAAAAGTTATTTTTAAATATTGGTATAACTGTGTATTCTGAAACCGTGTTTTTTTTTATCTGTTTTTATTGTCACAACTAGGTGCACGGATAGACACTGGGCATTTCTACATCATCTTTATTCGGAATATACTGTAAGCCGATACGCGTTTCGGGCATAAGCCCCTCATCTGTCGGCATGACTTCCAGGATTTCTTGGAGATGGTGTTGACACGTACACATTCCGTTTAAAGTTACATATTTACAGTTAAAATTGTTTTACTTTTAAAATACGGTCATAGTTTAAAATATATTTAATAGTACTTTTAATTGTAAATATATTTTAAACTATAATGGTATTTTAACTGTAAATAAGTAATATTAAACGGAATGTATACGTGCCAACACCACCTACAAGAAATCCCGGAAGTCATGCCGACAGATGAGGGGTTTATGCCCGAAACGCGTATCGGCTTATGGTATTCGCTTGTGCCAACTATAAATCTGACACCTAGCGGTATTAGCGCGAACTATGTAATGGCTGCTGCTATGGGTATAAAGTCTGTGGTCTGCTAGAATTAAAAAGTGTTTCCCTACAACGGTAAATAATAAGTATTGTTGTGAATTTGGATGTAAGTCTAAAGGTTCATCAAACTCAACAAATAAAACATTGAAAACAAAGCTAACTAGAAAGAAATATGATTTAAGGGATTTTAAGTTCCATTTCTTTTTCTATTATATATTTCAATTTTCTATACCCCAGCTTTCTCTTCCTTTTTTACGCTATCTTTATCGTTCCGTAGCAAGCTATAGATATTGGGTGCTCTTTTATAGACCATTCTCAAGTTTTTATAAGACAAAGAATATTATAAACGTTCCATTTTGGAACATTTATAATATTAAACCTGACGATGGCCTATATTAGATAGATTGAAAACATTTGTAAAAATAAAAGAATTTTAAGCTCAGCAAAATTACGTGTTGGTGAAACTGAAGTGAATTAGTTGCTAATAAATGTATAGATATGAAGTTATTAGTTTTAGCATTTCCTCTCCTTATAAGACATCTTTTTCGATCACCCACATATTCTAAAATGTCACAAAGTGTAATCATAATGACTTAAACGACTACGAAATCAACTAGGATTAATGTCGGACACAAATGCGGATAAAACGTTTTTAGTACAGAGAGAAAACATATTATAAAGACAAAACACATGTAACACTCGTATGTTACAACGCACACTATACCTTTTGTGGCAGCCATTTTGGTCGACTCATACGCCACCTATATTTACTGACACAAGCGAATATTCCGAATAAAGATGATGTAGAAATGCCCAGTGTGTATCTACGCACGTAGTCGTGACGATAAAAACAAAGAATAAAAAAAAACATATTGATATAATCTGATAAAATAAAAAAAGTATACATTAATTTAAAATTATTGTATTTTTGAAAGTGGATGATATTAAATTATATACAAAAATAAAAATAACTGCAAGCTAATTGTAAATTTCATGTCTATGAAGACCGGAAGGACACAACGCGTTTCCTAAAAGCGACCTCAGTTAGTATAGTGAACGCTTCCGACACTATTTATAAAGATAATCCGTTGTACGAGAGCAGATCAGTAGTCCTTACACAACAAGCTGATGTTTCCATAATGCCAGTAAGTACAAACTTGTGTAACTTATACAATAAAATCATATAGACAAACTTTAAAACAAGTAATTTTTTTATTTTATTCTAGGGTGATTCTGGTGGTCCCCTTGTATATGAGAAAGATGATGGAAAACGGGTTCAAATTGGAGTGTTAAGTGCAGGTCAGATGATACCGGATGGGGTTAGTGTTTATGCTTCGACAAGTTTTTTTCTTGATTTTATAAAAGAATATTGCGAAGGAGATATTACATTTGTATAATTGTAAATAACTTTTGAATTATATTTGAGAACTTCCTAAATCATTTCGTTTGTGTTTTTCAAGAAAAATAGCTTTNTATGTAAATGAAGATTTTATTCGTTATAAAGTTCTATCCCTTTTTGGGACACATCATCCTTTCTATCTTACCATCCTCTCGATCTTTCACCACTAAAATTTAACAACGGCGATGCACCTCATATACAAGCCACCATGCCAAATTTTGTTTTTTAATCTATATACATCCTGAGATATTAAGCGAAATAGATGCAAACATACACACACATCCACGGAATTTTTTTTTTGTTTTATTTTTTGAATTCAGGAGGTCTCAAAACGTGGAGATATGTCAAATTTGTTTCTGTAAATGTTTTGCAAGATTCCCAAACTTTCCCTTGTTATGTACTGTACATTCAAGTTGAATTCAAAATCTAATTTTAAGAAACTATAACGTCATTCATGTCTATATCAAAACATATTTTAAATTAACATCATATTACTGAACGCCGTTTAGTAGAATTGTTATAAAAAGTTTTAATGGCAAAAATTTGAGTTCTTGTGATTCTGAGCAACATTTTGAATAAAATTCGTTTGTTTTCATGCCAATTTACTTTAATTAGTAAATACTGTAGTAATATTACATTCATATTATCCATTATGATCGAATCCCTTAAATTATATCATAGTATTCATAAAACTTCCGCATTCTTGCTTTAGAATACATCAATTCACGTGAAATCTCACAAATAATGTAGAAAACCATTAAAAATCTAACATATTTATGTATATAATGGCATTACCGAAAGTTAACTAACTATTTTTCATAAAGATTTACATTACCTGAATTTGTTTTTTAACGCTGAGCAATAAGAAAAATTGTTTCAAAAGTAATATGTAAAGATGCTGGCCATCATGAAAACATATCAAACATGTTAACATCTTGAATCATTATTTAAAATATGACAAAAATACTCGATCCGATGAGTGTAACTAGTGAAGATGTTAGAACATATGTGGATTATTGTATGATCCAGTAATAAAACAAACGATTGAACGTGAAGGAGAAAATATAATGAACTTTCAAATATAAACTTCCAAAAACCAACAAATACTTCTTGGTTTTGATATTTATTGTTACCATATGAAAGTTTTACTTACTCCTTTAATAATATTATGAAAAGTAAAAGAAAATACAAAATGTATGATTTTAGTGTATAAATCAAATAATTTGGAAAGGTAGAGGAAAACGTGGTATTATGGAACACTGCGGGTATTATGGAACCATCCCATTTCAAACTGATAATAAAGGCGAACTGTAGCAGATTGTGGCTGAACTGAACTAGGCAGACATCCATAGCAAGGGAAAAATCCGTTTTACTTCAGTTAAACGGTTGTCCGTATTTTAATCAGCAAATTTGTTTTTTTTTTTTTCAAAATTCGCAAGTGTTGAATGTTAAGTGAATTTAATTATTTTAAAAATATAAGTCGTGTAGTTGTAGTTGTAGGTTCACTGGTGCATGTATTCCGTTCCAGAGACTTAGGGGTACATATTAATCTGTGTGATGTTCACGTTTTTTAAAGTTTGGTCTTGACAGACATAAGTTAATTCAAGATGGCTATGCGTGAAATACGGACCCCATTGGTGCTTTTGCAGTAATATGGAACTCAACACCTCCGAACTCTCTCTTTGCCAGCAGACATTCGTCCGGAGCAATTTGTGAAAAAGACACTAGGTAGAAAGTCAATTTTTCCTGAGAACATCGAAAAAAAGCTGCTGGAATATATATATTGTTGATGGAGGTCATATTTTTCTATTATAAAAGCATTTTTGCGATAAAATACATTGGAGTAAATGATTTTGTAATTATTTAACATTTTTTGTACTTTCCTATTTGTTTTTGGATACATTAAAGCGTTTTTTGAAAATATACAGTAAGGTTCCATATTACCACGATTTTCTCTAAGCCTACTTTCTGACGTTTTGTACAGAAGCTTTCAAAAACCATACTTATAGTTACACTAGCGAAAAATCCAATTAGGAACATTTAGTTTAATAGTTACCAGTACTTTTTGCACAAAAAATGTGAGTGTAATTATGATACTTTGTTTACAATTCACTAAAATGTAATTGGGTTTCCATAATATCACCTTCTCCTCTACTCTATACAGTTATGCATATATATAATAAAGAAATTTCTATAACGGATCACAACTGTTGACCAAGCAATAATTTTAAAACATTAAATTATATATTAATAGGCTTAATTAAGTATATTATACTCCATTAACTAAATTATTATTGAATTGAACTGAAATTTTAGGAAGAATATTGCACTTTTTCCTAACCTTCATACATTCTTTGTAATTGTTCCTTTGTTAACAATATTCATTGCACGTTCCAATCCATATTTTCTTACCTGAAAGTCGTACTCAAATCAATTATTCAAGCGGACACTTTCAGTTAACATAATATGTCTGCCTGGACTTTTACTTAGCATACTTCACATTACCATTCGTGGAGGATTATCTCAGTCTGTCCGGAGCAAAACGCTATAAATAAGTTTAAATGGGTACATACCTAATATTGTATTTTATGTATATTTATTTTATTTTGTCGCTTAAGTTGTTATCATAAAATTTGGAAAACATGTAAAAAGTTGCGTGTTGCATTAGGTTTTTCGGTGCTCTAACAAATACAAAAATATGTTTTCGTTGATGCCATTTACATTACACCGCAGCTACGAAGTAAGTTTTTATCTTAATAAAATCCACCATTTTAAATTTTTAAAATGCTGACACACTATGCATGACATCCATTATCAAATATTGATGTTTTCTTAAAGTATTTCGTACCGCCGGCGATACGCTGACTACGACATGTCTACAGTTATCCTCATTTTTTGAGTCAATGACACTAGTGATCCGTGGTTCCATACAAAAACTCTCTAGTGAGAATTTCTCGTTAATCCTGATGTTTTGGTCATATATAGTTTTGTTAAAAACTCGTTCTTGTCCTCATCTTTACTGACATTTAAAACTATAACCCTTGGGTTCCTTTTCCGTGTTTTGCTGATCTTTACTTTTTCATTTACATTTGTAAGGGTTTCTATTGCTTGTTTCAGATTAAGATAGTCTTTTTCCGAAGTAAGTTCTATTTTGACATTCCCACCTGCTGTAGGAGTAATGTTCCTCACTCCTATGCTAAGGGAGGTGGGGTCTATTTTGTCCTGCAATGTGTTCATGGCTTCTTCAGAACATAATGTCTCCCACTGGCAATGGCCATAGGCTTCAGAATAATTTCACGTAAGCGCTCATCTCGTTTATTAGAAGCTAAGGCTTCAGTTATCATAGTAGTTGTGATATTTTCCCTTCCTGTACCTATTTTAGTTACTTCGGCGTAGCTGCGAGCAATGGGTGGCATCTATTTCCGTAAGGCCAGAACTATTCCGAATAAATTGTTGGCTGCCGCGTGCATGTTTAGTGCCGCCTGCCTAACTTCTTTTTGTTCTTAGTCCTTCCCGAGCCATGTGAGTTGGCTATCTCTCCTATAATGATCACAAATCCGTTGGAAATCACCAGAATCGACTTTTCCAGGTAGTCCGTTGTCGAATTATCCATAATTAACACATAAAATTACAAGCGTACAGTCAGGTTTCAATGGGTAGAATGTGTAAAGTCAGCAAGAAAGTGAAAACCCGGTCAAAACAGCGTTACAAACCGATAAATACGCCAAATTATGGTCGAGTAGGATAACCCGTATTAGGGTTAATTGGAGTACACCGCAACACTATGGAAGGGTGAGGACATCGATAACTCCTAGTTAACAAATGTATCGAATTTAACCGAAGTTACACAGGATATTAGCATAATCACGCGCACGACACCTCGCAATCACGGTACACAGGGTCCAGCAGGAGGACCGCAAAAGGCCCGCAAAGACCGAAGCTAAAAACAGCGATACCTTTCGAGAAATTTGACAAAACGTAGCAAATATGACAGCGAGTCTTACAGAAGGAAGCCGCTTTCTATTGTATGTTATTACATTACAGGCCACCAGTGACAAAGTCGTTCCGTTCTCTGAACAATTATCAAGCAATAATCAAAAATTTTAAAAATACAGTAAAGGATTTTTAAAGAAAATTAGTAAAACAATACGTTGAATAAACTACATTGTTTTCACATTTCATCATGTCTCATCACCAAGAACCAGCACCCTTTCATGAAGCATAGGCAAACTCTATTAAAGTTCATCTCTTCAATGGAAGAATGTTCCTGGTAATTGGACATCACGAAATGTGAAAACGTATTTTTTACTGCGTAAACCTCGTCAATTATTTTTAATTACAAAAATTAACACTCAATCCTGATGAAAATAAACGAAGTACATAACCTCGATTCATGACCGTCCTATTCTTGAAGTTTCTCGTAAATTAAATTTCGTAAACAAGAGCAAGCTTTTCCATAAATTTTTATTATCGAAATTTGAATGTTGTTACTGCATTAACCTAGTCATCCCAGATACGCAGGAAAAGTACACTAAAAGTCAGTGGCACGAAGGGCATTCGGGTGAATCCTCATCCATGAAGTAATAACGCTGGGTGAATCGATTGTTTCTTATTCGCAATCATACCAGGACGCTTCCTGTTGTTGGTGCTTGGGAGGCTCGATCCCACGATTTTATTACTTAATTTCGTGCAACTTAAAGGTAGTCTGATTATTCCAAGAACGTTGCCATAATTTTTACAGTTCGGCCTTCATTTTGGGTTTTAAATCAGTGTGATATAAGACGGAATAGGGTGGCTGACTTTACTGCTATGCCAGTCATCTGGTTTCCCCTTATGCCTACGTTCCTGGAACCAAAGAAAATATGACATGGTAACTTCTTGTTGAAAGATTGTATAAAATACGCCGGATCTTGTGCATGACAGTGCTATGAAAACTAAAGGGAGTTTAAAGATCGGATTGTTCTCAGTGAGTTTGAAAGTATTGCAAACAAAGAACACTGCGACGGAGTTCGTTTGTTTACAATATGTTTTAGTGCTAAGCAGTTCTGCAGAGAATACCGAGTTAGCCTTTGGTACTTGATATGTTACCATACCGCCGTGAATGATTACAGAAGAACCAACATGATTATGAAGTTTGGATCCATTTGTACAAAAAAACGAAACTTTTATATTTACGTTTTATCTCTGCTCACTGTTGCATGTATTGTACATATAGTTAGCTTCTTTCTTCCAGACTCTCTTTCGTAAAACATTCGTAGTTTTTACAAATGGAATCGTCAAACGTCTCGAACATAGCCAGCATTCAGTTGCTTTCATTGAAAACTAAATGCTATTAATGAATTAATTCTTCCAACTCTATTTTTCTTAGTTTCTTCCATTCCTTTATCAAGTTGTCCGCAACAGCCCAAGTATTTTTGTCACTTTCGAAATCCTATTCTACCACAAATCAATCCATATCACTCACAATGCAATAACTGTGAAATTCAAGTTACTGTTAACAACAAAACAGAAAAGTCAGTGTCATCTAAGCCAAATGGCCCAAAATTCGTGTTGACAGAGAAACAATCTACCGTCCAAAATAGAAAACCAAAAACTTATTTTATGTAATGGGCGATTGACTAGGCTGATTTTACCTTTATGCCTCCTTTATGTCTCGCATCTTAACTAGGACTATACAGTATTAGTTTATCTCCATGATAGTGTCTCGTGTCAGAGAAGAATGCGAACCTATTTATCGAAAATTTTCGTCTATTTTTTGTGTTTTTAAAATACTGGTTATTAAATTTTCAATAATAAGCATTTACAAAATTTCACTACAGTTACTATCATAAAACTTATGTAATAAATTTGACGTAATAATTGTGTGATTACGTAGATGTATTAATGCCAACAGCAAATATTTAGAAAACTTAATATAAAAACTCTGCACAGCTGCGTAAATTGGATCAAAAATAAACGATTTAGACAATAACACCGTTAAAAATATTACAATTTACTTTAACTGTAAAGTGTTATTTAATTTAAACAGGAATTATACAGATGATTTTCAAGTATTTTTTTTTACGATCATGTTTTTAAAACATTTTTGAAAGTCACTCTGATACAGGAAATAAATTCTAAAATACAATTTAAATCATGAAATAATTACTTAAAATTCTAATTTCAGCAAAATATTACACTATATAAAAGTAATTCTAGTGTAATTTAAAATTATCATTCGTATTCTTCGTACTTTTTTGTCAGTTGGTGTCAACAGCAATATGAATACTCCTCTGAAGTAAGGCTTGTGGAAACATATTTATATGTTCATTAAATTATTGAAATTACTTTACTTACATATATTTATTGTCAATTAACTTTTATAGAGTTTTAAATCAAACTTTGAAGATCTTCCTTATATTCTCTACGATTCTCTGTTGCAGTGCAAATGCAGAGGAAAATGAAAATAAACGGGGTGAGTTAACGATATTATTCTTTGTTCAGAAATGTTTATTAATTCTGATGATTTCGTGGCATTTGTAGGAATTGTACGAAGGATGATTGGTGGTAAGAATGTTGAAATTAAGGATTATCCATTTATGGTGAATTAAATATTATTTATCTTATTTTATAACTTACTTATAGAAACCAAAATAAATAATAGTTTGTTTCTAGATTGCCCTGTTTTTAGTAGTAAATGATATAGATGAAGATTATTTTCTTGGATGTTACTCATTGATAACAACCAAAACTGCACTGGGTGCCGCTCGCCCAATAGTAGAGTATGCATTTTCTAATTAATTACGATAAATGAAAATACTTTAAAATTCGTATAATATTTATAAAAGTAAAAATGTAATTATTTATACTATAATATATTTCGGTATAATATTATTATATATTTAAATCAAGTTATTATATATTCATATCTTATCTGTATATCATAGAAAGGAACCCGATGAAATATATGGGACAATTGGTAACAAAGATAAATTCCTTGGACAGAAAGTGAATTTCAAAGAATTAATTCCACATCCGTACTATAAAGGCACTGTATTCCTTTATGACATAGCAGTTTTAATACTAGATAATGACGTTTCTCTTCCTCCACATGTACAAACAATCGCTCTACCACGTACCAATAAAGAATACTATTCAGGAATGGCAACGATGGTTGGATGGGGAATCATTGGAACAGGTTAGTACATATTACATTTTGAGAAATATCTATAACGATTTTGAATTTTACTTTTAAAGCAAAATAACATTACTACTTTTCCCTGTTTTAAATGCCATGGAAAATATTATGAAGAAGTATACAAATGTCTTTTTAATAAAGTTTCAAGTGAAGAATATGAAGTTTTGGTGTATGAGTCATACACCAAAACTTCGTATGTAAGAATGGATAGAAAATATAACAAAATGTTTTAGCCAATAAAATCTCTGCATACTTGCATGTTTTCGATAATATTATACCCAATATTAATTGTTAAATATATTTTATATCTAGAAAACATTCATTTCTGTAATGACTTTTCATTATATTATACAGTGTAATATATTAAGTTTAGATTTATATTCCATAATAGAATCTAAATCATTATTCAATCATCAGTTGAATAATAATTTAGATTTTCTATACGAAAAATTAATTTATATAATATATTTAATGAGTTATTTCGGTCTTTAATTTTTCAATAGTAAAAATTAAAGTGTTTTTTCAGGAATGTTGTTATTATATCCTTATAAATATTTCAATCATTTAGGAGAAGTACTGTTGTACGAGATTTACAATGAAACAAAATGTGGCATAGTAACTTATACAGTTATTATGCCAATTGCATAAGGTGTATTGATGCGTTACACTTTCGTAGATAAAGGTAAAGGGGTGCAGAAAAGGGATAGTGTGTCATATCTCCAGTGAGGTCAGACTTATTGACAATTTTGCTCGTAATACGCATACACAATTTTTAAACAAATAACTTTTACTCTAAGATTTAAACATTTTGCCTTTTTATAGTAAATAATATAAAAGTTATTTTTAAATATTGGTATAATTGTGTATTCTGAAACCGTGTTTTTTTTTATCTGTTTTTATTGTCACAACTAGGTGCACGGATAGACACTGGGCATTTCTACATCATCTTTATTCGGAATATACTGTAAGCCGATACGCGTTTCGGGCATAAGCCCCTCATCTGTCGGCATGACTTCCAGGATTTCTTGGAGATGGTGTTGACACGTACACATTCCGTTTAAAGTTACATATTTACAGTTAAAATTGTTTTACTTTTAAAATACGGTCATAGTTTAAAATATATTTAATAGTACTTTTAATTGTAAATATATTTTAAACTATAATGGTATTTTAACTGTAAATAAGTAATATTAAACGGAATGTATACGTGCCAACACCACCTACAAGAAATCCCGGAAGTCATGCCGACAGATGAGGGGTTTATGCCCGAAACGCGTATCGGCTTATGGTATTCGCTTGTGCCAACTATAAATCTGACACCTAGCGGTATTAGCGCGAACTATGTAATGGCTGCTGCTATGGGTATAAAGTCTGTGGTCTGCTAGAATTAAAAAGTGTTTCCCTACAACGGTAAATAATAAGTATTGTTGTGAATTTGGATGTAAGTCTAAAGGTTCATCAAACTCAACAAATAAAACATTGAAAACAAAGCTAACTAGAAAGAAATATGATTTAAGGGATTTTAAGTTCCATTTCTTTTTCTATTATATATTTCAATTTTCTATACCCCAGCTTTCTCTTCCTTTTTTACGCTATCTTTATCGTTCCGTAGCAAGCTATAGATATTGGGTGCTCTTTTATAGACCATTCTCAAGTTTTTATAAGACAAAGAATATTATAAACGTTCCATTTTGGAACATTTATAATATTAAACCTGACGATGGCCTATATTAGATAGATTGAAAACATTTGTAAAAATAAAAGAATTTTAAGCTCAGCAAAATTACGTGTTGGTGAAACTGAAGTGAATTAGTTGCTAATAAATGTATAGATATGAAGTTATTAGTTTTAGCATTTCCTCTCCTTATAAGACATCTTTTTCGATCACCCACATATTCTAAAATGTCACAAAGTGTAATCATAATGACTTAAACGACTACGAAATCAACTAGGATTAATGTCGGACACAAATGCGGATAAAACGTTTTTAGTACAGAGAGAAAACATATTAAAAAGACAAAACACATGTAACACTCGTATGTTACAACGCACACTATACCTTTTGTGGCAGCCATTTTGGTCGACTCATACGCCACCTATATTTACTGACACAAGCGAATATTCCGAATAAAGATGATGTAGAAATGCCCAGTGTGTATCTACGCACGTAGTCGTGACGATAAAAACAAAGAATAAAAAAAAACATATTGATATAATCTGATAAAAGAATAAAGTATACATTAATTTAAAATTACTGTATTTTTGAAATTGGATGATATTAAATTATATATAAAAATAAAAATAACTGCATGCTAATTGTAAATTTCATGTCTATGAAGACCGGAAGGACACAACGCGTTTCCTAAAAGCGACCTCAGTTAGTATAGTGAACGCTTCCGACACTATTTATAAAGATAATCCGTTGTACGAGAGCAGATCAGTAGTCCTTACACAACAAGCTGATGTTTCCATAATGCCAGTAAGTACAAACTTGTGTAACTTATACAATAAAATCATATAGACAAACTTTAAAACAAGTAATTTTTTTATTTTATTCTAGGGTGATTCTGGTGGTCCCCTTGTATATGAGAAAGATGATGGAAAACGGGTTCAAATTGGAGTGTTAAGTGCAGGTCAGATGATACCGGATGGGGTTAGTGTTTATGCTTCGACAAGTTTTTTTCTTGATTTTATAAAAGAATATTGCGAAGGAGATATTACATTTGTATAATTGTAAATAACTTTTGAATTATATTTGAGAACTTCCTAAATCATTTCGTTTGTGTTTTTCAAGAAAAATAGCTTTAAATTGTTATGAAACTTAAAATAAAATGATGATAATAAACGAAAGAATTGAAGAAGGTGTTCTTTTAAACAACCCAAATATATAGCAGTAACAATCAGGAGTTGCATCAGTTTTATTTGCATGATTAAACTGAAGGCATAAAGTTTTTTTTTTTTTAAACGGGGGTCGAAAAAACAATAATAAAATAAAAAGAAAATGTACAATTTGTAATTATAGAATTTTAAACGATATACAGTAGAGCGTCGATTATCCGAAAGTCAATTATCCGAACGAATTCCAGTCGGCAAATTTAAATTTTCGCCAGTGCTGTGGAGCTGCAATCTTTGGCTATGTCTTGGGCTACTCAAATGTTTTACTTTTTTAATACTAAATTAATTTCTGAAGTATAATTTTTTATTGTTTTTTTTATTTTTCAATATATTTATTTTGTTTGTACAAAATAAAAAAATAATTTTTAACGATACAATAGTCTTCGTTAGGCTTAACATCGACGAAAATGCAACGCGATGCGACACGCAACGGAGAAAAATTTCAACATTAAATAGGTTATATTTTTTCGTGTATAATCGGTTATCAGAAACATCGATTTTTCCTAACCCCAGTCTCCAATTGGTTCGGATAATCGACGCTCTACTGTATTGCTGGAATTTCAGGTGAGAATGTTTGTATTTCTTCACATGTTATGACTTGAAAATAGATGAAGAAGAACCAAAATCTGTTTTGTAAATATTTTCTGATGCTACGAAATATAAAAATTTTGGTAAATAAATGAACTGTGAATTGTTCATTCAAGATTCGTAGCTTGTCGTGAAATAATAGCAATTAAAATTTTTATCCGATTTTAAAATACTGTACGAAATTATGAGTTCATCACTTTGATTAGGAACGTTAAAAGTACGGATGTTCCGTAACAGTGTTTTTGTAATAAACAAACTGACTGTATGGAATGGGTTGTAACAATGTCTGATGTTTCGATTAATTAAATGTAAAAGAAACTATTCGTTTATAATAAAAATGAAGAAAAACTTAAAATAAACTTTAACCTTGCCGTAGTGTAGACCTAAGTTCTTTGAAGTAACGAGGCAGAAAATGTATCATTATCTTTACTTTCTAATGTAAAAATTTAAAAGATTCACACCCGTGCCGATTATTTATAATAGATCAAAGCAAACAATCGCAATTCGCAATGCCTAGCACATTATTCGAAAACTGACAATGATACATCCCATAAACATCAAGTTCCTTATACGTAATGTAAACATTACAAATGTGAGATCGCAGGTTTGATTTGTGTAAAAATTAGAAAAGTTAGAAAATTTTGTAAGCCTAATTCTCCGTCGCCATTGTTAGAAAAACATCGCCCCAAAAACAGAGTATAATGACTCACTTCTCATCAACAAATGTTAGACAATTGTAACAACAGACTGTCAAACGATAACAATCTGATGTTAAGAGAGGAGAAAGTTAAACGTTGAACGAATAAACAGAGTAGTTTTGCAAGTCCACAACCAAATATGAACATGACAGCTGCAGTTAGGCGACATCGTTGCGTCATCGATAGAAAACCTTCAGCTTTAACGACAGACGATCATTTTCCAAGACCTAAACGAATAAAAGAACGAGACACCCGCATTTCCGGGCGTTCGTCCCCTGGAAGTAGCCGCACGAAGATCGCGGATATCGTCGATTTACGACTCTTTCGCCATAAACCATCTGCTTACGCTACGACAGAACGTCACATAGATCGGAGAACCACCTACAGAAGTATTATTGTTAGAAATTTTATAAGCTCTCTCCGATGTACCTAAAATAACAGCATAAGAACTAGGTTAGTCGCGCCCTGTACGCATTCGCCATATATTATTCGTATTTAGTCGAATATTATGTATTCTTATGTATTTTAGTTTTAGTTATATTAAACTTTTGTTTACCAGATAACCTGTTGTTATTCGATTAAACGAATGCGAGACACCTTATCGACTTACCGATCCCACTCGATTTAACCCTCCAAGCCATCCTACACGCGGGCGGTTTTCACCAAACTGTGCCGATTAAGTATTTAGGGTAACCCCCTTTTTGCTCTGGCTTCTCACACGAGAATTGGAGAGTGGAGGCAAAAAGTGATATATAGGGGTGGATTTGCCAAGAGGAATATAATGATTTGTCAAAAATAATCAGTTAAACAGCGTTAAACCATTACAGGTTGTTTGATCGAAAAATTTACTTTTGTTTTAAAAACAAAAAGATGTTTCTTTTATCTAGCGAATAATTCTAAGGCATAAAATAATTAGATTTGTTCCCACTTATAACATCTTACTCTCATTGAACTCGAAAAATTTCTGTCTTTATTACGACTAATATTACGAAGAAATCAGTCCCCACTGTACTCGGCTAGAGATTGTTCAGTTAAGTTGTTTAAGTAAGTAAAATTCCGGCTCTTTCAGCAGGGTTTTGTTTATGTCGCTAATTCCATAATCTCTTAATTATTTAACTAATTTAATGATAGTAATCAAAGGGAGATTAATAATTGTTACAGGGAGATTTTGGCTCACCACTGATCAAGAGGGACGCGTCAAAAAGACCAGTGCTTATTGGCATTTTATCTAAAGGCGGAGATAATATTAGAGAACCAGATGTTTACACGTCAACCGGTTTTCACCATCATTTTATAAAAACTCACAGCGTTGGACGTCTCAAATACCTAAACGTATAAAATTAAAATATGAAAATACAGTAGAGCGTCGTTTATCCGAATCAATTGGGGATTGGGGTAGTTCGGATAACTTATTTTTCGAATATATAAAAACAATAAAAAATTATACTTCAGATGTTAATTTAGTATCAAAAACGTAAAATATTTGACTAGCCCAAGAAATAGCCGTAGAATGCAGCGCCACAGCACTAGCGAAAATTTAAATTTGCTGACTGGAATGCTTTCCGATAACAGACGTTTCGGATAACCAGCTTTCGGATAAACTACGCTCTACTGTATCATGGTAAATTTTTCATTTCAGAAAGTATTTATATAAATTATAATTGTATTCGCAAATAGCTCGTATTTCAACAATATTTAACAGTGGATATNGGCTATAGTTAATGTTACTCTGTTATTTATAAAAGTTTTATTGTTACAGGGAGATTCTGGCTCACCACTGATCAAGAGAGATACGTCAAAAAGACCAGTGCTTATTGGCATTTTGTCTAGCGGCGGAGATAATATTAGAGAACCAGATGTTTACATGTCAATCAGTTTTTACCATCATTTTATAAAAACTCACAGCGTTGGACGTCTCACATACCTAGACGTACAAAATTAAAATATGAAAATAGCATGGTAAATTTTTCATTTCAGAAAGTATTTATATAAAATATAATTGTATTCGCAAATAGCTCGTATTTCAACAATATTTAAGAGTGGATATATTTTATTTCCATGCCTGTATTACTTTAACAGCTTTTTGTATTAAATAATCTTATGTATTTATTTATTGTAAAAATTACATAATTAGATTTTCTTTAAATAAAAACTTAAAGATCCATGTAAAATTTTTNAGCTCGTATTTCAACAATATTTAACAGTGGATAATATTTTATATCCATGCCTGTACTACTTTAACAGCTTTTTGTATTAAATAATCTTATGTATTTATTTATTGTATAAATTACATAATTAGATTTTCTTTAAATAAAAACTTAAAGATCCATGTAAAATTTTTAAAGTGTCACGAATTTACATTATGTATGTACTTACACTACGAATCTCTGCGCTATTTTACGTATTTATTACATTCGGTGCTGTTAAAATATAAGCAATTATTATAGCCATGTTAGTATAAATTTCTGAGAAATTTGATATGGATCGATCTATATGAGACATTAGTGGCATTAAATTCCGGTGTAAGGAACTCGAGGTTGTCAGGAAGTCGAGTGAATCACGTGTTATATTTGGAGTGAGGTCAGATTTAATAAAAGATTTACTTATTGTTTACACTTACAATATTTTTCTAAATTTACTTCTTNGTTGTTGTTCGGGGTACAGTTAAGGTTTTAACGAAGTTCGAGCGAATACATAATTAGCAAAAAAAAAGTTGAAATAAAGTGATTAAACAAAAATTATTACAAATATCGTAAATAACAAATGTATATATAGAGATATTTTTTGAAGAAGAGGAAATGGTCTTCACAATTTGAAATCGATCGAACACACTGCGCTCCAATGCTCGTGTAAACGCGCGCCATCTATCGTAGGATAAATTCCAGAAACCTTTGCGGGAGTGTATTAAAAACTTCCCAAAGCTTCATGGCAATCGTACTACGCCAGAAACCTTCAAGGGAGTATATTAAACAACTCAAAGTTTCACGGCAATCGGATAAACGGTGTGGTAATGCATGAAGGACACACACACACACACACATACATTCATTTATATATATATAGATTAATAATTTTCTTAAATTGTCTCTAAAACAAGGAAGTTACACAACAGAATGCCCAAAGTAATATATCGATTAAAACGTGGCATTCCGGTTATGTCTATAATTCTGTTATATAAGACACATTTAGAGTAGGATTCAATTAAGATAATTAAGATTCTTAGTGTTTAGAATAAATGGCATTCTCACATAGAGGAATCTATCATTATAAAAAAATACCTATCATATCAAACGTTTAAGTAGGTATAATTTTATATACGTTTATTTTCGAAATTCATTACACGAAGTATGCCATTAATAACTTAATGCATTTAAAGTGTACTTTCTTAAACGGAAAATATACGTGTTATTGAAGTTGAGTTTGAGTGGAGTAGAATAATGGGATAAGCAACACAACAACTCACTGAAATCTGCCAACAGGGAAATATCTACCTGATTGTGACAAAGAGTTTCTATGCAATTTTGTTCGAATAATTACCTATAATCAACGGCCACCCCCGAACAACGGACAATTTTTATGTCTTCGTCAGATACCGACGCTCAGAGAGTTGATTCTTTCAATTTGGAGATGATATTGATTCTATTAGCTCCCACACGAAAGAAATATTAAACAAAGAAAAACAATAAAATATTTATAATTTAAAATTATGGAAAACGCAAGTAATGAGATTAAAATACTTCTTTATTCCTTAAATGCAGCATCACAAATTCTCGGGTTAAATATATTAAAATGTGACTATCGTAAGAATTCATGGAATATTCGATTTTTTCAATTTTATTCAAATTTTCTCGAATTTTTTCTTATACTGAATACTGTGGCATTAGTTTCCACGATATTTTCCGATAAATTCGTATGCGGAGACTTGTTTAACTTATTCGTGGGTTTCAAATACATCATACAGTTATTTCTTATTGGTATGGTCGTATGCTGGACTTTTCAGTTCTCTTTTCTTAAACGAATTCGTTTACATATTCCTAGTAGTAAGTCTTGCTATGAAGTCGAGGAAACGTTAATTACCTCCATAGAATTTCAATTTGTAGTTTTCTTCGCAGTCACTGCTTTATTACAAGTCACATGTTACTTCATGCTTGACTTTTCTTTATATTTTGCCATGGAAAAGACAACTGTAATGGAATTCCTTCTCTGCAATATCGATTGGGCATTATTATTATTTTTTTTAGTAGGACAAACTGTTTACATGATATTTTTTGTTTATAATTATTTACTCATCTTGTTTAATGGATTTAACGCATTGTCGAGCAAATTCGATGTAGTTCCTCATGGAAGGAGCATGATCAAAGATCTAATCGTATACATAATTGAAGAACATACAGCATTAATGGAACATACAGCATTAATTTCGAAACGTCAATAACCAACTCGAAATATATTTTCCTGCTGTTTACTGCAGTAGTTTATATGGGTTCAGTATCCTGGTAACCATTACTTTGTTTTATGATTTACCCGCGGAATTTAAACTGGGAGCATTTGTTGTTATCATATACGTAATTTTCGAATTAATGATAATTTCGTTCGGATTATCCAGATTTGCATCCTCGGTNTTTACTTTTGTTGCAAACTTATATTACGTAAACTTTGTTATGTTTATTTGTTTTATTTTTCTTATTTTATTTATTATTGTTTATTGTTTATTTGTTAATTTATTTTATATTACTTATTTCATCATCTGCATTTATTTCTGTATTACTTCTTAATTTAATATTCACTTAATATTGTATATATACTCTATCCCTGGTAATGCGTGTAGCGGGACCAGGGAATGTACAATTATTTTTGTACCAATAAAACAAAATGAATGAATGAATTTGAATGAATTCAATGTTAGGGGTTGATAAATAGAGATAAGAATAAATCTGCTTCGCTTAGGAAAGAAAAGGGAATAACTTAATCACGCAGTTGAATTAATTAATTTATGACAGTTTATTGAAGCACCAATTTACAATAGTCAACAATGATCTTCTGTACGAGAGGGTAATTGCTTCATGAAGGTGCTCTTGCTGCCAGAGTCTCGTTTGGTGAAGATTACTCTGCACCACAATTATTGGCACTGAGAACGAGATCAGCTTGGAATAACTTTAATCACAATAAATGTTTTCGGCCAGTTACACGCCTGTAAACTGATCGGAAATAAAGATCGCAAAACTCAAAATACATGCATACATTGTAATTTACTATGTGGAGAATACTCATTTTATCTGCAAAATAGACCGTAACGAATTGTGCAACAAATGAACTTGCCAAGACAGACAATAAAAAATTTATTTTTCTATATAATATTCTTCATCGCAAAAAAAGCCAAATCTGGCAATTTTGCTCAGAACTAACTGAAGCGCCACTTGTAATCGTCCAATGCACCACGTTTTGGCCACCCCTGATTTATACAATAAATAAAATATGTAAATACCGTAAAATAAATGAATATTGAATTTAGGGTGCGACTATGCAGACGTGAATTTAGAGTGAGCGAGAGGTTGCGAGCGATTTAGTTTTCGCAAAGGAAAACCATGCACAAACGAGAAGCGAGAAATAACGCTGGCGAGAGCGAATTTCTGGTTCTCGCACATATCTGACAGGTTTTGATATTTATCGCTTCTCGCCTCTTCTCGCCACATATTCTCGCTCGCTTGGAAAATTCGCTCGCTCGCGTCTGCATAATCGCACCCTTACTGTACCTTAGTGCGGATTTGTCATGTCTCGTTTCTATGGTCATTATACAAATAGTCTAAACACGANACGAAAGAAATATTAAACAAAGAAAAACAATAAAATATTTATAATTTAAAATTATGGAAAACGCAAGTAATGAGATTAAAATACTTCTTTATTCCTTAAATGCAGCATCACAAATTCTCGGGTTAAATATATTAAAATGTGACTATCGTAAGAATTCATGGAATATTCGATTTTTTCAATTTTATTCAAATTTTCTCGAATTTTTTCTTATACTGAATACTGTGGCATTAGTTTCCACGATATTTTCCGATAAATTCGTATGCGGAGACTTGTTTAACTTATTCGTGGGTTTCAAATACATCATACAGTTATTTCTTATTGGTATGATCGTATGCTGGACTTTTCAGTTCTCTTTTCTTAAACGAATTCGTTTACATATTCCTAGTAGTAAGTCTTGCTATGAAGTCGAGGAAACGTTAATTACCTCCATAGAATTTCAATTTGTAGTTTTCTTCGCAGTCACTGCTTTATTACAAGTCACATGTTACTTCATGCTTGACTTTTCTTTATATTTTGCCATGGAAAAGACAACTGTAATGGAATTCCTTCTCTGCAATATCGATTGGGCATTATTATTATTTTTTTTAGTAGGACAAACTGTTTACATGATATTTTTTGTTTATAATTATTTACTCATCTTGTTTAATGGATTTAACGCATTGTCGAGCAAATTCGATGTAGTTCCTCATGGAAGGAGCATGATCAAAGATCTAATCGTATACATAATTGAAGAACATACAGCATTAATGGAACATACAGCATTAATTTCGAAACGTCAATAACCAACTCGAAATATATTTTCCTGCTGTTTACTGCAGTAGTTTATATGGGTTCAGTATCCTGGTAACCATTACTTTGTTTTATGATTTACCCGCGGAATTTAAACTGGGAGCATTTGTTGTTATCATATACGTAATTTTCGAATTAATGATAATTTCGTTCGGATTATCCAGATTTGCATCCTCGGTAAGATTTAGTTAATACTTGTACCATCAAATTAATATATAATCTATAATGTTTATTATTCATTTCAGATTTATGGAAATTTCAACGAGATTAATAAATTTTCCTCGTGCAGATTCTCTCTGCTTTTTAAATTGAAGGTAAATTAAGAGTTTTATTTTTACGTTATTGATAAACTTTATTCCAAAGTTATGCACTTTTTCGAATAGATGCTGAATTTTATGAAGAGATTCGGGAAAACACCCATTGGAATTTCTGTCGGTGGATTTTTTCGGGTCAAGCGCAATTTCCCGATTAAAGTAAGTTTCGATTAAATAATGAATTTTAATTTATTATTGTGGATTTTGTCTTTATGCCTATTTTCCCTTTTAGATGCTGAGTAGTCTTTACTCTATTCTTTCTGCACTCATCGAATTGGGAAAGAAGAATAAAAGTACGAAATGTACTTCATTACGTTCCCTGAATGCAAGTAATATTCAGAACACATCACTGTATTGAGAACGTTTCAACGTAAATACATAAAATCAACGAAGATTCATTGAATCGAGAGAACGATTTGCAGCTTATCGAGATACTTCTGATTTTTCTATAACCATATACGTGAACGAATATAAAACATTTGCAATATTGAATACAGTAGAGCCTCGATTATCCGACCCCCGATTAACCGACACCTCGGTTAACCGACCGTCTTATTCGGCAAATTTCAAATGTCCGCTAGTGATTGACACTACAATAGTTTACAAATTAAAGTAGCCAAGACATCTTGGCTACTTTAATATTATTTTTACGTGTTTTAGCTGGCAACACTGGATCGATCATGAAAGGGAGCCAGTATTTAAACGAGGCTTAATTTTCTAATTTTTAACGATACAATAGCGACGATTATTATCTTTTTAAAAAAATTGATAGGCTTAACATGGAGGAAAATTCAACGCGAAGTATGTTAATAGCGATATACTAATATACTAATTACATGAGATATAATAATATACTACACTAATAATGGATTTTTTCATACTTTTCGGTTATCCGACTTTTCAATTATCCGACAAACCCCAGTCCCCAATTGGGTCGGATAATCGAGGCTCTACTGTAACTAGAAGCACTTCTTATACGTATAAACACACACACACACACACACACACACACACACACAAAACAAAGTACACTGAATGAGTAATGTAGAAAATAAAGTTTAAACAATCTTATTTCTTTAATTTATCAATCATTAATTCTAAAACAATCCCTAACGAAATATAGGAACACTGACCATACAACTTATCTTTGTATATAGAAAGAACAGCTGAGAATCCTCACGACACTAGTTCTATTGAACCTTTTATTGAAAACGTAGTTAAGTGGAACACAGATAAGAAAAAAACGAAAAATTTGTGGCAGGCTGTTTGAACAGGCGCAAATTCACCTTCTCGTATATTAAAAAGCATCTTGCCTGTATTATTTAATTACAAAAATCTACTTAGTTAATTATGAATGATGAAGAAGTCTATCACACACCCAGCCTGTTTAATTATCTTAACCAAAATGCATCCGGCCTTTCTGGGTCTTATCTGGGTCTGGGATGACACAAAATACAGAATATATAGTGATAATTAAACAGGCTGGGTGTGTTATAAGTCACTTTCCAATGTTTAATTCTTTCATTCAGTAGGCTATTTGTGAAACCACTAATAATGTAATAATTAATGTACACTCTTCGTATGTAGGGGGTGAGTTTTATAAAAATAAAATGTAAATGAAGATTTTATTCGTTATTAAGTTCTATCCCTTTTCGAAACACATCATCCCCTCTATCTCCTCATCATCTCGATCTTTCACCACTGAAATCTAACAGCGGCGATGCCCCTCATATACAAGCCACCATTCCAAATTTTGTTTTTTTAATCTATACACATCCTGAGATATTAAGCGAAATAGATGAAAACATACACACAAATCCACGGAATATTTTCTGTTGTTTTATTTTTTATTTTTTGAATTCAGGAAGTCTCAAAACGTGGAGATATGTCAAATTTGTCTCTGTGAGTGATTTGCAAGATTTCCAAACTTTCCCTTGTTATGTATAGTTAACATGGAGATAGAAACCAATTGATTTACAGAAACCCAATAGATATTTTTGAATGCGATGTTCTACATTATCTAAGTTAGCTGTATGTGAACGTAACCGGCGAGTTTCGGAGCAATGGGTCGAACGGCCTGGGCGTGTGTAGCGAAGAAACATTTCAAGGAACATTCTCATTTACATATATAAATGGTTTGTATGTAAAAAATGTACTATTAAAAATATATGCTCTCGAAACATCGGAATTATTTGACTATAAATGATATGTGAAACATTAAAAAAATGAGCGTCAGGTGAATCGGAGCCAGCACTGCAAGCAGCAATGCACATGAGGGCAGCATCTGACACAACCACCAACGCTTTTTTCTTATTATTATTCAATTACTAATTCATACAAAGATATGTACAGTACGACACGTGACATGTATATCATTTAAAAAAGATTTTTTCTACCAAGGTCTTTTGCGCTCCACGACTTCTTCTACCATTTTTTTCAGACTGCTTTCTGTCCAGTCCCGTCTGGCGTAACCGTGTCTATACCGTCCATTCCGCAAATTCGGAATATCGCCCCTCCAGATAATGGACGAGAGACGAGGCGCTGTCGTCTGGAGTTATGACGACCACCCGTTTGACGTCGGGTGTATGCGACTCCTCCTCTGCATCTTTCCGAACCACCCGTATTACACTAGGCCAAGACGAGGCGCCATCCTCGGGCTCAGCATGGCCCTGGCCCGAGGTGTGCCACTTCTTTAATTCTTTGAAGTTCTCCATTATGCAAAGAAAACTGAGCGAATGTTATCAAAACAGAACATGCATTAATTAAAAAGTACTCCTATTGTCTTAATTTCATCTAAATTGTAAGTAAGGAATATAAAAATCTTTTATGTTCAAATTCAATAAAGATTAATCATAGAAGATTGTAGAAAATGATCGTTTTAATTAAAATAAAAATATTAAAGTCAGAAATCGATATTATGATAAAATCGTTAAATACAGTAGTTTTAATCTTTCCAGCGATTTTTAGTGTTCGATATGAAATCGGTATACACAAATTACACAATTCTGTCGATTGCCATAACATAAAATATTTGTGAAAATAGTGAAATTCTAATGAATTAAAGTATAGAGTATGGCGGCGCGAGATATAATGTGTACGTAAACAAACCATAGCGGGAAATAACAATTTAGTATATTTATTAATTTCCATTTTACAGTCGACCCCCTATAACGTACGTTCCTATAACGACAATTCCTATAACGTAGCGAAAAAATTGTAGCAACTTTCGTATAAAGTACCTCCTATAACGTCGTTTCGAGACAAGATTGATAGAGTCTGGACCAATAGTGGATGAGCAGCCGAACTACTTTCCTCCGACCCTGCGCTACTCTATGGAGTGGCTAAATTGAGTTTGCTATCNCTCGCCTTTTCTCATCACATACTCTCGCTCGCTTGGAAAATTCGCTCGCTCGCGTCTGCATAGTCGCACCCTTACTGTACCTTAGTGCGGATTTGTCATGTCTCGTTTCTATGGTCATTATACAAATAGTCTAAACACGACCAGTTAAGGCTGTGTTTATTGTTGAAAATAGCTAATTTATAATAAGAAATCATTTACAAAATTAGATCTTGCTGTAATATCTGAAAGTTTCTAAGAATCTGTATTTCATGGGAAACATCAAGGATCACTTCTTCAACCATTGGGTCATAACGCATTTCTCGCGCGGGTTTGTACTTTCGTTCTCGGTTGCGATCTGTAACATCGCTAAAGCTTGTTTTCCTTCGCTGTTTTGGTTGTGTAGCCTCATCGCCTTGAGATAGAATAAGTTTAGTCGACTGTTTACATTTCGAGGTACGAGTATTGTTCTTATTTTGTTGATGTTCCTCACTGTTAAAGAAACGAAGAGTGAAACTAGAAATAAAATAATAGTAATGTAATTAGTATGAAAATTAAGATAAATAGCTATAAGTTAAATTATCAAATGTAGTAGAAAAGTTATTCAATAAAATAAAATAATAAGCCTAATAGTCCTAATATATTATAATAATATAGATCTGGTGACTTCATAAGTAAGGGGAAAATTATTCCTAATTTAATAATACTGTACAAGGAAGCAAAGTTTGATATATTTTGTCTATTTCAAATGAATGTGAGCATAAAAAATGACAAAAAGTATATTGTTACCTTTTGTGTATAGCATATAGGCCATTAAAACGAATTGTCATACAGTTTTGTGTTATCAAATACTTTTTAAATTTTCTCTTTCACTATACAGTGGTACCTCAGGATACGAAATTAATCCGTTCCGAAACTGAGATCGTATCATGAAAATGTCGTAAGGTGGATCATCTTTTCCCATACGATTAAATGTAAAACCAAATAATTCGTTCCAACGCGAAAAACATACTCAAATTAAAGCCAAGTAATACATTAAAAAAAATAACTGTAGTAAGAAAAACAAATGAAAAATGCGAACTAATGTAACATCGTATGGTGAGTTTTTGTTCGTATCGTGGAGCAAAAATATGTTCGAATTTCATGTCGTATCCTGAAAATTTCGTATGCTGGGGCGTTCGTAACCTGATGTACCACTGTATTTTAAACTAGTGACCTCATTTCATTTTATTTGACCTACAACGAGTTCAACAACGTTGACATTACGATAAACAAACTGATAAATGTGCTATGTTATTTTTCGGGTCAGGTGAAAAGGCTTGTAACTACGACCCGAAACTGATACAAATCCATTTGCCTCCATTTGCGCTGTTCGCCGTAGTAGTAGTAGTAGTAGTAGTAGTAGTAGTAGTAAGACAGGTATCACTCTTTGGTACGACCTGTGTTATGGAAAAAGGGGGAAGATAGGGTGGGGGTGAGAAAGGAAAGGGGATGAAAAGTAAAGGATTGGGATCCATGGGCGTCCCGCGACGGTGTTTTACCAGAAATAATCAGCAGAAAAAACAATAACGATAACAAGAATGTTACAGAGGAATACAGGTTGGGAGTGCCACGTTACACATCGCAAACAGCACTAACATATGAAGAAGTAATAACATAAATACAGTGTGCAGATTAATAATGTTACAAGAAATTACATGTTGAGAGCTGTCTGACAAATCGTAGATAGTGCAAACATAATAACAGATGACAAATGAATGTACTGTACAGTACAAAATGTAAATTTTTGAAATTTTCGTTAGGATTTTATTTCGGAAGATTTTATATTAAATCTATCAAATTAAAAATTAAACTTTTAATGACAACCGAAATATGTATTGACTAGCTTACCCGTCGCGCATTGCTGCGATCTCAGAAAGGAAATTCAAGCAAACTCGTTATGATAAAATTCAATTTATATTTTATCATTTTTATTGAATACTAATGATTATATCATAAGTATTATTATTATTCATTTTCAT